GTGCATAAGATTTCTGTGTGAAACATTCTTACAGAATAAGATGCTTTCTACAATTTATTTATTTATTTTATGATTTTGGCAGCATTTTTGATAATTAAATTTGGTTTTTATTCAACATTTGATCATATGAATATCTTTAATACAACAAGAGTAGAAGCGGCGCTTTAAGGCATGCAATGCATACGGTACTTGCCTATATATATGATAATGTGAAATAGGAATTATTATTTTTTAATTCAGTCGTGTAATAAAATTATTTTTAATTACTTTAAATATGCAAGTTGCGGATTGGATCATCGATTATATTTAGAATTAAAAATTTAAATAACAGAACGAGTTGCGCGCTATTGTGTCTGTTCCGATTCTCTCTAACATGCTATCCTCATACCAGCATTTTTAACCGAATAGCACATTTTAGAAGATGAAAGGCATTCTACTTTTCCCTCACCGCAGCATGAAAGCATGGACCAATTTTTCATTATCTGCATGCAGTCTTTCTGTGTCATGCGCTGGGAAGAAATGAGTATTCACTGTTTAGTTCTTTGATTATACCAAAATTTATTATTATGCTAGCAGAAGTCCCCAATGCCAGTTAAGGTAGATTGAGAGTAATGTATCTAACAACAGACATAACGATACCGATGTAATCCTTCTCTAATAACGATGCAAATCATAAGATTCATAGTCATATATTTTTCAATTTGATGCGATACGGAACCCACAAAGTTTCAACAATGGCACACAGTTTTAATGATTTCCGTCTTTCTAATCAATGGTCGTAAAAGCTCATCCACTATTTCACTTATATTCAATTTTAGTCGATTAATGTGGCAAAATATTGATCAGAAATCAATAACATGAACAAACAAACAAACAGGCTTTCTTCTTTATATATATATAGATTTTATAAAACTTACAAATTTTTGATTAACAAACTATATGATTAGATAGCGAACAGTAACAACACTTTTCGAAAAAAAATTTTTATATCCAACGTGGAAGACTGTTGCCACTCGGAAAAATGAGTCTGAAAATTAATGTTTTCAGAGTTTTTATCAATATCTTATCTGATTAAGTCACGCGAAGATGGGAATAGTCGAAATGGCTTTCCAGAAAACGTTGCACTCGGGAATAATGGATTTAATGTTTGGCAATACTATTTTTCTTTCACTGTAAAATTTAGAAATTTTTTATTAACAATCTCTAGGATTTGAAAGCGAGCAGTGGCAACACTTCTCGAAATAAATCAGATTTTTATCTCCAGCGTGCGAGACTGTTGCTACTAGGAAAAATGAGTGCTAAAATTAGCGTTCTAAGCGTTTTTAATAATATCTGTGATTTTAGCTATTTTTGGTTTGGAAAAATTAGATGTCGACCTTTTCCAGGACCCAGAAAATAATTGTAGAAAGTTTGGTGACGATAGCTGTAGTAATGACTGCGTTATTAGTGAACAAACAACCAGACTTCGTTCTTTATTATATATCTATATATATATATATATATATATATATATATATATATATATATAGATAGATAGATTTTTAGTTAAAAGCTGAGTTTTCTGCATCAAAGTTTACATTTAATTTAAAGTAATGTACATGTATATTATATGTACTTTAATTTAAAGTTAGCTTATTCTTATTTTTGGGATCTTTTAAAGTTCCATACGTTAATAATTTAAACGTGTAATACTAAGTACCTTCTGAAAATTAATGAGCGAAAATTATTCAGAGAAAATTAAACAGAGGGGCAATTTAACCAATTTTAATCGTCTTATAAAACATAAAATTTACTTAAAAGTGATAGAACTTTACGGTTATGTGTAATAAACATAATATACTAAAATAAATTTATAAATCTCAGACATATTAAAATAAATAATGCAAGAAAACAGCTTAGTTAATAATTTATAATATTAAGTAAAGGTGCTTTTTTACATGATCAACTGTAAGTTATGAATTTAAAAATTTCATCGGGTTATGAACACCTGTTCTAAAACAAGAAAAATTTCACTGTTGTCAGGTCAAGAATACAGCCATGTCTGTATCGATATTTCTAAATGCATCTAGAACGTATTGAAGATTCAAATAAGACAAATTCGGTTATGCAAATGAATTGAAATTTTGACAGAAAATATTAACGCTGCCCTTTACTTAGCAATTTATAAAACTTATATTGGTACTACATACAGAATAATGACTAAAATTTTCTGGCAATAGCAAAGTGCTTGGAGCAGCTGAGGAAAAAAAGCAACCTTCTCAGATTGCGAATCCATCAGTAAAAGTAATAGTTATGTGCTATATTCATTTGGTCAAGATATCTCTAAATAAATTAGAAGCAAAATAAAAGCACTTGAGTGCAAATAATATTAATAAAAATCCGCACTTATCGGCATTCTCTAGAGCTCCAGCATTTCTAATTTTAGAAATTAAACACAGGCTGTAACATCAGAACCCGTTTAGAGTTTTTCACATGCTACTGATAAATAACAGATTTTGAGTAAAATAAGCAGATGAAAATATCTGTTAAACTTCAGAAAGGTATGATAATCAAAACAATAAAGTATAAAATTTGTTGATAATTTACGTGCATGCTTTCATAAAACTGGAGCTGCCTTTATAGGCCTTGATCAACCAGCTGATATCACAAACATATAAAATTACATAAAATTGATGAATTTAATTAAGAGAGAAAATGGCATATTTTACTATAGATATTTCTTATTCCTTGGAATAATTTTAAACCGCAATTAAAAAATTATTTGTACCTCCTTTCTGCATGCCTTTGTGATGAAACGGTAACACACTCGGCGAACCAGTATTCGAGAAGTCCAGGTTCGAGTTCCAGCGAGTGTATTGCTCATTTTTCGTGTTTCCTACTTATCTTAATGACTCTATAGCGACCTCGAACTAAAATGTGGTGGATGATGATTCTTCACCACCAGAACTTGGCGATTGGATCCCCTAAGCCAAAGAATTAAGCTCCAATCGGCCTTTAAAAAGGGGAGGATAAGGTATTTTATCCATCCTTTGTTAATGCCTTCGTGGTGTCACATTAGCACACTCGGCGCGTATTCGAGAGGACCTAATTCGAGTCCCGGCAAGGGCATTGCTCATTTTTCGGGTTTCTTACTTCAGAAATCCTAACAACACTATACCAATAAGTGTAAATAATAATTTCGCCGTTTATTTCCATCAAAAAGCTCAATCTGAATTCGCAAAAAGCTACTTTCACATAACGGTTTTATCCGTACGTAGGTGTCTAGAAGTAAGTCAGTGCGATGACCATATATGAGTAAAAATCATGTGATATTACTGCTTGTGATGCAACATACTCTCCTCCTGTCAAGTGGAGCTCTGACATGCAAAAACTTCTTATGAAAATATTGTAAAATATGTTTTGTTAAAACTTGTTTATCAGGTAAATAAACTGAATTTTTCTTCTGATAAACACGTTTTAACAAAACATATTTTATATCATTTTCGTGAGAAATATTTATATATTGGAGCTCAGTCATTGCAAGTAATTTGGCCGTTAAATGACAAATCACTTTGTAGAAAAGCTGTGCATGAAAGTATTTCTTGCTTCAAGTTTAAGTTAATTGGCATAAATTAACTAGGAGAACCAACTGCTAGAAACGCAGCAGTTTGCAGATGAAAGGTTCATCCTCTTAGTGTTGAAGTATGTTGCAAGTCAAGCAGTGACGTCATGAGATTTTTATGTGTGCTAGCAGGAACAACTTCTAGAAGAACATTACAGGGATCAACTGTTCACATAAAACATTAGTCACAAACTGCTTATCAGATTAGTAACATTTAATGCACTCAAATCTTCCTGGTTAATCATTGAAGGAGAAATGGTAGTTAAGAGATAAAGTTTGTCAGCATTTGCTCCAACAAGAAGTTGAACATGTTTAAACCTTAGGCTTCTTAGATAAGCAGAGCTTTTGCAGCAGCTGTAGTCGCATTGTTGCGTAACTGTTGTTTTTAAGACTCTAATGGTTTTAAGTTTAGAAGATATTGGCTTGAACTGAATTCTATTTCGTTTCCTGTCTTAAACACAGAAGCCGTTTCTAATGCAACAGCTATGGTAATTGGCATACAGTTGACCATAACACCTATGTGATTGAATATGTATTTGATGCTAAAAAGCTAAAAGTTCTATACTTAACTAGAAGAAATTTCCGTTACGTTTCAAGGCTCAGTTAAGAAAACTATAAAAAATATTTTAAATTATAGTAATAATAGCAGATTGTACATTGTTCCTATAGTAATAATATCAGATTGTACATTGTTTCTGCCATAATTTAGACAGGCTTAAGCCTGAACTCGTTCTGGCAGGAGAAGACAAGTTCCACTTGGCATATGGCCCCATTTTAAGAGCTGTTAAACTCAGTCAGAATAAGGAGTTAGGAGCACTTAGTTAAGGTACTATCTACACGAATATATACTAATCATAAAGCAGTTTCGTGTTTTATTTACGTTAATAACCAAGGCACCCCTATTAAGAAACCTTAAAAATACTCCAGCGGATAACTTTTAGGCTCGGTGATATCTCTATTCGGAGATGAGCATAGTGTATCCCGCCTCTTGCTATACTTCTGGACAGGCAGAATCATCTGAATATTTCCAGAAACACTGAAAGTTCAGCGTTAATTTACCTTTAAAATTAGACAAAAGATCAAAGTTATCTTGGCATAGGTCTTTAATAAAATTTTATCGATTTCGAGAGCGATTACACACAGCTCACGCCCAATCTTCGGAAGAAAAAAAAAGTTTTTCAAAATCTGCATCCAAATAAATTTGCTCTTGTACCTTAATTTTAAATTTTAGAATGTTTCTTTTTCATTTGAAAAGCCTTGTTTCCAAGACTTAAATGACAAAGGAAAATGCTTATGTTTCCTATATTGGGCAATTATATTTTTAAAATTATTTATAAAGTTTATTATTATTATTTATTAAGTTATTTTATTAATAACGAAAGCCAACAAAGTTACTCACTGGGGCATCCTGCAGCATTGGGACCTAAGGCTAAAGTTCTTCCATCTGGACAGCAACCAAAGGGAGATTGGAGACAAACACTCAGTGAGACAACTGCAAGTATAGAAATGAATTTAGTAAATGTTGGAGGAATACTTACTGCACACAGAAATCACAATTTTGTGTATTTTTTTTTCAAAGGATTTTAACCAAGAACATCTACTAGTAAACATATGTTCTATCATGTTCTCGATTTTAACATGCAGGCGTTTACAATGCATTAAGAAAACGGAGAATTTTAAATTATTATTATATGTTAAATGCGTCTTTCATATTTAAAAAAGTATCAAATTGGTTGTAGATTATTTTCTCCTTATTTTGCATGTGCATGATTTCCTAATAACCCCAAATACGTGAATTTGTATTTATGTGGATAAAACACATAAAACGCAATAAAGCTTATCTACGCAAACAATACGTATCCAAAATTTCTATTATTTTAGTTGATATCGAAATGGTTATATTAATATATTGATTACAAAAAGAAGTATGAAGAAAAAGTTTTAAATGCAAATTGTTTTGGATATTATACAAATGCGTGTTTTAAAAAAATAGTGTAAAGAAAAATTTTTACTCAGAACAGGTATTCATAATTTTCCAAGCTGAATACCGGAAATACTTAGGAACATTGGAATGCTCAGAAAACCAAAAAATGCGTTTTGGATATTAGGCGTGATGCCACTGTGATAATCTGAACATCTTGTATTAAAATTAGATATCATTAGATTACGTATATGATAATTATTTACTTAAATCATCATTTATGTAGATCTATAAATGAATTATATATTATACGTTTATTAATTAAATGAATTAAATTATTTAATTCATTTAATTTATAAGTGTTTCTAGCATAATATATTAGATCTAATAATATAACTTTAAAGGTTGCAGACGAAAACAAGGCGAAAAAAGCAACGGAAGAGAAAATCATACATTTTGAAACAAAAATGTTAGAAATGTTTTTCTACTTTATAGAATATTTTCGGCGATATTTCTTATGAAACCGGTACTATTTCTAATTAACCCTCGTACTTCTATTGTATGTAATATCTAAAATATATCAAGATATATGTACCATATTATTATCGGATTATTTATGCAGAAAATGAAGTTAATTAAATTGAAATTATATACAAAAATATCTCATCCCCGAACTCTCTTCCCGCAAAACAGAAAACTTATCTTTTTTTTTCCGTTTTTGTCAAACAATTCTTCGTACTTGTACATTAGCTGGTACCCGTTGATACATCAACGAAAATATCTTAACTGATTATGGATTCTGTGAGCGTTTTAGAGCATAATTTTCAACACATTTTTACAAAGTCATTATTTTACAGCTTCGCTTTTTTTTCTGATATCCTTTTCCTGCAGAACATTTTTGGCACAATATTTCTCAAACTTGTGTTAATATTTACTACATTTGCATAACGCCTTTACTTAATTTGAAAAAAAAAATGAAGCAAAAGGAAATTATTATTTTCAAACGTAAAGTGCTCTAATAAAATTGCAAGTGTCTCCGTTTTTACGAAATGAAATTAAGCCTGATGAAAGGTATACTAGGAAAATGTATTGTGAAAAACTGGAGAGGTTACAGTAAAAACTGGAATTTACCTCGAAAAATGTCACATACCTTCTTTTTTAATAGAGTTTATACTGGTCAGAGACAAGCTTCGGGGAGTAACAATACGTTTGATGTGATTTCGAATGCGACCGAGAAACAATTTAGCCTGAAAACAAAAACACCTATTTCATCGATCTTCGAAAATATATTTTATCGCCCAAAAGCTCCAGTAGGTTGATGGAGGTGTATAACGGGAATAGGTTACAAAAATCGAGTATCCAATCTTTTAATTGAAATATAATTTGCAAATCAGTAATTATCTATTACTAGATGCCGAAAATGATTATATCATTTTGGATTATGATATCTATGCCAGATTTGGGATGCAGACCTTTCGGAACGTTTCATATATTGAGTTCTGAGTACAGTTCATTTATATTTTTTATAATTCAGAATTTTATTCAGAATTAGTTTAAGAATTCGATTACAAAATGTTCAAAATGTCTTAATTCGGGACCTACAGGGAACCCAAGCTGTTATATGGTCTCTGATTAAACTCGAGTCTTTAGATTAATTTTCTTTAATCATAGCAACTATAGACCAAAACAATTCACGCCCCGTGCAGAAATATGAAGCGTTAGCAGAATCTGATACGTATTCGGCTACTATATCTTCAGGGAAAACTGGAATAAAAATGAAAAACAGTTGATCAGATGAAGTTACGGTAGACTAGCAGCAAAACTGTTTACCATGTGAAAGCACATTTTGTAAAAGAAGTATAACTTCAACTAGAACCTGCAGAGTTACAAAACATTTCGGTCTTTTATAACTCAATAATCTTGATTTTTAAAAGGAAACTAAAGAGTTACTAATGTACCGAGGAAATTGCGATAGCTTTAATGGTAAACAGAGAAAATGGCAAGAAACAGGGATTATAATGCAACATTATCTGAAAAGAATCAAGTTGGTTTAAGAAAATGAATACGGAAACCATATTAAAACCTTTTAATGAAATGATTAATGACATTCGTAGAACAGTTCACATTATAGGTTGATAAAATAGAAATCTTTTCAGTTTGACCCGTTATTGAAATTATTATCAAATTACTGGTTTCCTAATACTGCTTATTTATTCATTAAACACAGAATGGTTCTGCGAATTTAATGCTTCTTATATTATTAAACAAGTCAAAGAAAATATTTTTAAACAAAATGCAAGTTCCTGAACAACTTATGAAGGAGAATTTAGTTCATGGACCCAAAATTAATTTATCTGCTGCTGTAACTCACAAATCAGCCTTGTCTAAATAAGCTTCAGATATTCACCCTTCTAAGCATATCTTGTCCAAATATCATCCATTAGCTCAACTGATCATCCTGTGCACGCGCGTCAGAATCGTGCTAGTACATTCATTGTGTTCCCCATATCATAATGACCTGGTTACGCACACTGCTCTACACACATCGAATTTAATTGACAGCAGATCCTCTGCAATCCGATTTAAGGTCGTATGTTACAATTCTGTCAAACGCTTATACATGAAGGGGTCAAGTTCTACATAGGATGTAACATTACATTTCGGTCTTCATTACTAGAAGTGTAACCTTCACTTGATATACATTTCTTTCTCCAATACAATGCATCAGCCAGTAAAGACTTTTCTTGTGTTATTTGTTTCATTTACAGCTTTATGTTTTAGATAGGAAAAATAGAGCCAATTCATATATTTTCAGAGTGTAAAAATTACCACTTATTTCATAGCTGGATTGATTTAAATATGTTTTCTAGAACTTACTGTCGAAAAATTTAGAATGGATTATAAAGTATTATATTTTGTTTTAATGTAGCAGAATTGAATCTCACATGGTTTTGCACGGCTATTTACGTCATACGCCAAGATATTTACGTTATGTACAAATCGTATATTTTTGAATGACAGTATTTGTCTACTTCTTTTACATGTGATTAACTCCCATCTTCTGGTAGATTCGTGCCAAGATTGCTGTATATATACAATACCTAATTCAGATTTTAAATTTAAAATTCCAGAGCAATATTTGTTACTAGTTATTAAAAAATAATAAAATATTACAGAAACTATCATCATAATGAAACAGAGCACAGTACAACGGAAATCAAAAACTGTTCTTTGGTTACCTTTATTGAATGATTCAGCACTCATACTTCACTGAAGCATAGGCAAAATAGACAGCTGTCTAAGGCGTCTATTTTCGGAAGCTGCCAACTAAGAAGTTATCACCAGCGACAATTCAATAAAGTTTTGCTCTGATTTGAATTATTAACAATTTTAATGCACCATTACACTGATAGACTCGCATAGGCTGCCGAGTGTAGTAGTATTAGCACTTATGTAATAGACAAAGAGGCTCAAAAGCACGTAAAATCTGCAATAAACCAGCTTTCTAAATTTCTATTAACCGTTTTCAGATTTTTGGAACACTCTGCCGACAGAACAATGTCTTCTTTTTATTCTTTGTGTAAATTACGACATTAAGGTGATCCATTACAATGCAATCCTGGATTTCTGTATGGAAACTTGCGCTAACATAACAAGCCTCCAGGTTTTATAAATGTGAAGTTCGGCTTTAATAGGCATTATGTGCAAAATTCGCGAAACTGATTTTGTAATTATGTTACCATGCGCTATGAGAGATTTTCCGTTATGTTTGCAAGCATGCATTATTTCAAACAAGGTCAACTTGTTTGACTAAATGCAATTTTAAGAAGAGACAAATTGCACGAAAAATTCACGATAAATTACCATACGTTCTCTGCCTATTTCTAGCAGCACCTGTGTATATTTCTTCTTCATTCTCTAGCGAAAAAGCTATGTAAGCTATCGACTTAAATAATTGTTTCTTAACCTGAACTATGTGCAACTCTGCACTTCCAAGGGCAAGAGAAAAGTTTCACAATTTTCGATGGAAACCAGCCTTTGACTGCATGTGGCAAACTAGCCCAACGCTACATCGAAGTTTGGGGTAAAATGTGCAATAAATTTCGAACACAGAAGTGTTTCAGAATCCTCCAACTGGTACCTTAAAAGACGAAAGAAAGATACAAATGCTTTTAAACACGTCAGCAGAAAAATTCAACAAGAAGAAACAGGAATCTGCAAACGTTTTTTTACTTGATCCAATTGCTCTGGAAAATAAGAATGTATAAATACTATTTTTTAATAAAATACGGTCTTTCTGAAATACAAATCAATGCACATACACTAATGGAATTTAAAAGGTGTACTTTGAATTCTGGTGAATACAGTTAGAACTTATCCACCTGCAATTAATCTGTGTGAAATGGGACTTCCGTCGCTTTTACGCATAAAAATAAAAGTCAAAAAAACTTTAATACAAGTGATGACGTATTTATCGCTGATTCATGAAAATGAAACTCATTTCAAAAGTACTTTTTTGTTAAAATAGTAAACAACATAACCATTGGAAACAACATAACCATATGTATATG